GCGGCTAACAGCGTTTCCATCGACAAAGCACACAGGAAGTCACGTTTGAAAATATTTTCGAGAAATATTTCATTTGTAATGCACTCCAAAAACACAGAGAAACGACAAACCCACGATTGCCTTACCACGTGTGTGTTGGTAGTCATTATCTGAGGGTGGGAAGGGAAGCCAGTGGCAAAAAGAAAAAAGCAAGATACAAATAAAACAAACCCCCAGGGATTAGGCAACCAACCAGAGACTGAAAGTTCACCAGAAAACTACAAATCTGTTCATTGCAAAAGAAGCAGACTTAAGTACGGTGCTCGGGGAAATCTAACACGGGCTCAACATGGAATTCATTCTCATATTAAAAATGCAATGTCTAGGCCGGGTACGGTGGCTCATGCCTGTAATCCCAGCACTTTGAGAGGCCAAGATGGGTGGATCACGAGGTCAGGAGAAGGAGATCATCCTGGCTAACACGGTGAAACCCCGTCTCTACTAAAAATACAGAAAAATTAGCCGGGTGTGGTGGCGGGTGCCTGTAGTCCCAGCTACTTGGGAGGCTGAGGCAGGAGAATGGCGTGAACCTGGGAGGCAGAGCTTGCAGTGAGCCAAGATCGTGCCACTGCACTCCAGCCTGGGCAACAGAGTGAGACTCCGTTTCAAAAAAAAAAAACCCAAAAACAACGCAATGTCTAAATTGTGTAATTCTACCACTAAGTAATGAGCTGATGGTGAACTGTAAGCTACAGAGATAAACTCTGAAAACCTCAGCAGGCCAGCCGGGCAGGGTGGCTCACGCCTGTAATCCCAGCACTTTGGGAGGCCGAGGCGGATGGATCACGAGGTCAGGAGATCGAGACCATCCTGGCTAACACGGTGAAATCCCGTCTCTACTAAAAATACAAAAGAATTAGCCGGGCAAGGCGGCGGGCGCCTGTAGTCCCAGCTACTCGGGAGGCTGAGGCAGGAGAATGGCGTGAACCTAGGACGCGGAGCTTGCAGTGAGCCGAGATCCGGCCACTGCACTCCAGCCTGGGCGACAGAGCGAGACTCTGTCTCAACAACAACAAAACAAAAAAACAAAAAACCTCAGTAGGACATTTCCTTCCAGTGACACTCAGCACTCAGGTAATGCGACCCGGAGCGACGTGCATGTGGCGATTGACCCCGTTGGGAAGCTGCGCGGGCTGCACTGAATTACTGCTTTGACAAAATCATCACATGGGTTTGGAAGGGTTTATTCCCGAGCAGCTGAGTCGGCGCGCTCGAGCTCCGTACTGACCTGCCCGTTGCTCGTCACAGTTGTATTTTCAAACATGAAGTAAGCACCAAAGAAGAACACCAGCGCGTCAAACAGTCCCAGGAGCGTCCAGTAGATGAACACACGCCAGCGCAGCAGCGCGTTCTTGGCGACGTCCCTGTGTGAGGAGAAAAGTGCACAGCGTGTGTCCTCGAGAATCAGGACTTGGCGCCGCCCCCGGGCTCCGGGGTGGCCGTCCCTGGACGTTGTCTTCATGGGATAAGATGTGTGTGGCCAGTAAACACGAGGTTTGTGCTCTGGCCACAAATGCGGCATGTCCGTCACAACCAGCACTTTACTACCCATTCATGTCCTTGGCTAACTTTTGCTTAGATTCTTTCTCTCTCATATTCACTGCAATATCGTCATAGGCAGAGAGATGCAAGCCATGCGCTGCTGCTTCTGAAAGTAACGAACACGGAACACAAGGCACACACCTGACATTCACCGAGCTTGTGACACCTTACACCTGACGTGACACCTTACGCCTGATGTGACACCTTACAGTTGATGTGACACCTTATGCCTGACGTGACACCTTACGCCTGTTCAATAAGATAGAATTTGCAGGATTCCTTCTGGATACATGTCTAGAACAGTATATCCTCTCCCGTTTTCTCAGATTTATTCCCAATTATTAAAGACGTACAACAAATTTTTTATCGTCGTCCTTAATCACCTACAGTGATTATTTTTGGGTCCAAGCCATCAAGATCCCATAGAATGGCTAAATATTCTGATGAGGGCAGCGAGGCTGATGCACGGATTCCTGCAGCATCCTGGGCAGGGAAGCGCGTGGTCTTGGCTGTGGTGGTAGATGCAGGAACCACGCATGTGAGAAGATTGCACAGAACTGAACACACACAGACAGGTGTCATGTACACACACGTACATGAGCACAGGGAAAGCTGCGTGATCTGAATAAGGGAACAGGAGAATGGCATCAACATCAACACATTGGATGTGATGCTGGACTGCAGTTTCTTGCATGTCACCACTGAGAGACATGGGATCAGGGTCCACGGAATCTATTATTTCTTTCTTTTTTTTTTTTTTTTTTTGAGACAGAGTCTCGCTCTGTCACCCAGGCTGGGGTGCAGTGGCCGGATCTCAACTCACTGCAAGCTCCGCCTCCTGGGTTCATGGCATTCTCCTGCCTCAGCCTCCCGAATAGCTGGGACTACAGGTGCCCGTCACCACGCCCGGGTAATTTTTTGTATTTCTAGTAGAGATGGGGTTTCACCGTGTTAGCCAGGATGGTCTCGATCTCCTGACCTCGTGATCCGCCCCTCTTGGCCTCCCAAAGTGCTAGGATTACAGGCGTGAGCCACCGCGCCCGGCCGGAATCTATTATTTCTTACAACTGCATATGGATGTAAAATTATCTGAAAAATAAAATTTTAATTTATGATAGGGTTTGGCTGTGTCCCCACCCAAATCTCATCTTGAATTGTAGCTCCCATGATCCCCACCTGTTGTGGGAGGGACCTGGTGGGAGGTGATTGAGTCATGGGGGCGGTTTTTTCCCATGTTGCTCTCTTGATAGTGTCTAAGTCTCACGAGATCTGATGGTTTTATAAAGGAAAGTTCCCCTGCACACGCCCTCTCGTCTGCCACCACGTAAGACATGACTTTGCTCCTCATTCACCTTCCACCATGACTGTGAGGCCTCTCCCCAGCCGTGTGGAACTGTGAGTCCACTCAACCTTCTTCCTTCATAAATACCCAGTCTCAGGCATGTCTTCACAGCAGGATGAAAACGGACTAATACAATTTAAAAGACCATGGAAAACAGTAACATACTGAATCTTCCAGAGACCTTGGGGGGCATTTCTGAAATAGCAGAAAAATATCTCTTCCATATTATTAAAAAAAAATAACTTTTTGGGAGAAAAGACACCCTGAAAGCAGAGCTATTAGTTTTTCTTTTTTCTCACTGAATGGAACACACATGGTTTTAAAGGATAACTTAGGCCACAGACTCCCCGGAGTCACAACGAGGAAGACGCTGGTACCCCGGCTCCCTTAGGACTGTTAGAAAGCACAGGAAAGTGCAAACTGGCTCCACACAGATGTTCCAAATGCAGCGTAAACCATCCAGCAAGGCTTAAAGAGTCTCCCTTTGAACTATGTTGCTTCCAGTTTAAAGAAGCTCCTGACCAAGCAAGAGTATCAGTAGATGCTGAATGTTTCTGGCCCTTAACTGGGGTCTGCCAGGTGGCTACTGGAAGAACTGCCAGAGTGCTGCCTGGTTATTCTCTGTGCTCTCAGGAGAGGCTGTGTGGAGGATGGTACCTGTACAGGGTCGGGTCTCTCTTAAGCACGTCGATGCCAATATGCTGCTCCATGAGGCTGTACAGGAGGATGGGGAGGGAGGTGAAGCTGATGTTGTAGAGGGTCAGATACGCGGTGTCGTACAAAGTCTGTAAGAGGAAAGTCACAAGGAAGTGGCGCCTCAGTGCATTGTTACAAACTTTCTGGATCTTTTGATTAAATATATTTTCTTTCTGAAATGCCTAGAAAGATCAGAGCACTTTTCAAAGCTTAACGATATAAACTAGGGTCTGTGAGATCAACTGTGATTTCAGGATGAAAGTCACAGCTGGCCAAAAGCCTAACACTGACTCATCCCATTCTATCAGCACAAACTTCAAGGAAAAAAAAAAAAAAAGGAAAAAAGTCATAGAAAACATTTGCAATTCTGGTTGCCATCTTCAAGCTTCAGTGACTCTGGTTCCAGTCACTTCCCATGAAGGCAGTTGGCCCGCCAACCACTGAGCACACGAGTGACAGAAGGAGGCGTCCATCTAGGGCAGGTGCCCGGGGAGTCCTTCACCCCTCCTGGATGGGAACTGTCTTCTTCCCCTATGGGCACAGTGCACATGTTAACGTGCCAGGCACCGGGGTGGCCCATGTCCACAAGGACCTCGAGTTGGAGTTAATTCTTGCAGTGGTGTCAGGATACCCAGCTCGGCACTGCTGGGCCCTGGGGAGACCACATCATCATTAGCCCTCATCTCAGGGCCATAGCAGTTTCAGAAGACACGGAATAAGCGGCCTCCAGGACGGCAACTCCTCAGCACCGTGGCCCCCACCCCACGCCTGACCTTTCACCCCGCCTGCTGCTGGGCACCCTGGCTTCCTCGCAATGCTGGGGAGTGTTGCTCATTCCCAAGTCTCCTCTCCCCACGGCAGCCACCCACTGGGGGAAGGAAAAGAAGGCTCAGACGGCCTGTCCCTGAAGACCCTAGGACTGACCTGTTGTGAAAACCCACAGAAGAACTGGTATAAAAACTGAGGGAAGATGAAGCAGACATTCTGAAAGGCAAGGCAGAGCTGTTAGTTCAGTGATGGGGCAGAGGGAAGCAGCCGCCACTTCCAACGTGGCCTGTCCCACGTGGGCGGAGGGATCCACGTGTGCCCAGAGTGCGGGAGAATAGCACTAAAGGGTTCTAGAAAGTCTTCTCTTATTTCAGGGGCAACTGAAATGCACATGTGACCACGTTCTGGCCACTCTGAGGACAGACAACGTATTGGGGAAATTTGTCAGCTCCAAGAGAAACAAGAAGGCAATGCAGGTATCAGTATAAACAGGAAAGAATCGAACTGCACAGTGAATGAGGAATTCTAAAATACCGTTCCTCAAACATTTCCACCTGAAAGGTTCTCACTGGTTCTACACTCAATTCTGTGGAGGGGAGAAAAGGACTGGGGGTCTCCTGTGGCACAGCAGGGCCTCCTCATCCTCAGGGGTACATTCCCAGACCCAGGGAGGATGAAGAATCTGCGGAAGGTCCTGAACCCTGTCTACACTGTAGACGGGTATGTGTGTTCCTACACATACACACCTATGACAAAGTTTTATTTATAAAGTAGGCGCAGTAAGAGAGTAACAACAAAACATAGAATAACTATAATAATATATCTTAATCAAAGGTACATGAATTTGGTCTCTCCCTCCTCCTCTTAAAATATATTATCGGGTCGTATTCACCATTCTTCTTCTTGTGATCTGTCAACCTGGTCACCAAGACAGCTACAGAGTGACTGAGGGGCAGGTAGTGCACACACAGCATTGGCACACCAGACGAAGGGACAAGCCACATCCCAGGAAGGACGGAGCAGGACGGCACGAGGCTTCATCACGCTGCTCCGAATGGCATGCAATTTAAAACTTAGAAACCGTTTATTTCTCCAATTTTCCATTTGATATTTTTGGGCCTGGGTTGACTGTAGCTAATGGAAACTGTAAAAAGCAAAGCCACGGCTAAGTGGGAGATGACTGCTATCAGATTCACTCCTTCCTTTCTGACAGTTGCTGCTACCTAGAGATCAATGACCTCTTGTGCCATCAAGTGGTTCAGACAAGGGTCGTGCCAGCCTGTGTGTGATCTGCTGCTGAAAATGTGAGGGGGAGCGGCGATCCGCCTACCTTATAAAAGAAGTACTGCACGAGCTCAGATATCCTAATGTAATAAAAATGCCCGTGAACAAGCAGCATCTTCTTCAAATGCTTAAACTTTGGGATTGCATAGTCGCTGTTTCTGGCAGCCTGGCGGCCTTCCTTGCCGATGACACCTAGAAGACGGAGGTGAAGGAGCTGAGGAAATGCTTTCCGCACACCACGCACAGGGCAGGGACGGGGAGAAGAATGGATGAAACCATCATCACAAGCCTTCCTGGTCACACACGAGGGTGATGATGGGGTGTCCTGAATGCACCTGCATGCTGCCATGGGCCTCTGTCTAGCAGAGGGGTGACCTGGCCACCAGGACGTGCCGGCAGCAAGGACGAAGCTCACCTATGCCCACATGCGCTTCCAGAATCATGCTGACATCGTTTGCGCCGTCGCCAACTGCTAACGTGATTGGGTGCTCTTTTGAAAATTTGATTAATTTAACAATCTGCAAAAGAAAGAAAGAAAGGCAGCGTTTATCTTCACTGTTCCACTTCTGAACAGGTTCTTCATTCACTAGGCAGAAATAATGAAGATGTAAAGTTAGCCTAGGCAAATAAAAAAATTATCTACTTGAGCTAATTTATGACATTCTGTTTTCTCCATATAGGATAAAACTTTTTTTCATACTGAAAACAAAACAAAATAGAGTAAAAGAAATGAAGTATGATTAAAATGACGTGGGCTGGAAAAGGCTGGTAGACAAACTTTGGTGGTACAGACGTGAGATATATGAAGTAGTTTGTGGTTATTGTTATATTCATCTATTTAAATATATGGAAAAATGTGTAAATACTGGGAAAATATATTTAAATATACAGGGCAAATGTGAACCCTGGATTCTGTTAGAAGGCATCACTATTCCAAGGTATTTCAAGCTATTTGGTATAAAGCATCTATTTCTAAAACTAAACTATTCCTAATGCTATTTTAATTTTCAAATTTGTAACGTGCAAAATCAAATATGACAATTTTATGTAAAAATAACTTCCAAGTTTTTAGTCAATTTCTTTTTTCCCCCCATATATGTGCCTAAATGTAACAGTTCAAGATATAAGACTGAAGAGATGGGGGAAACGTGTGGGTCCCTTCTTGTTTCAAGATAGGAAACTGAAACACAAGTTAATTTGTATGAAACGTTTCAAAAGCCAGTTGAGAACTTAAAAAAGTACTATGGAATACATGAAGAGCAAATGGCAAACCCTGAGTTGCTGTTCCGTTCGGGAAGTAATCCTGTAAGGTTCATGTGCAGTTACACATGTGAGGGAGAGGAGAACATCGCACCGTCTTCCCCACATGGAAGGTCTGTGAATGCTCGAGGCTCAGCTGTCGTCCTGAGGACCCCGGCTCCGTGTTTTTGGCAAAATTGACAGATTAATGCACCCACGGGCACAAACTCTCAACTCTTCACCTCCTTGGTTTCCAGAGTTTGTGTGAGACGCTTTTTACCTTAAACACTGGGTTGCTCTGACCAGTTATGGATTTACTCATGAACAGTTCAAGAGAAATTGACGTATCGTGTCTAAAATGTGGTATAACGAAGCTGGGACTTTTCTAGGCTTCCTGATATCAGAAAGACATCCATGTTTACACGTACATTCCACAGTGCTTTTAAAAGTGTTTAAAGAAAAAACTTTGGTGTGTGTTTCCCACAAGAACATGGGCGCGTGAGACGTTTGGAGTTTGATGGACAAGCTGAATCCTCGTGGCATTTCCCAACTGCAGCCTTTTGGGCAAATTATTCCAATTTGTAAAGCTGGTGCCCTCATTTGCCCGAAAGGGTTAGTTTGAGGCTAAAAGCATTTGTGTCTGTAGGAGGCACACACTAGGTGCTCAGTAATGTCAGCTCCCTTCCCCTAAACCTTTAGTATAGATTCTCAGGAGTGACTGAGGCAGCAGCCAGGGCAGCTGTCCTGGCCGCTACATCTGGAAGGGTCACACGTCAGACTGGTCAACACCCACTAATCACTGAGCCTGGCCCAACAAGCAAAACGACATCTGTGTTTTTAATCTCTACCATGGTTACTTCTCTTTTTAACAGGCGGTACCCTGCTAGGCTTTTTAACAATCCGCGGTGGTGAGACCTAACGGAAGGTTTCCAGTGTTTCGGATACCCTGATCACCAGCTATCGAGGACGGGCGGGCAGCACCTGGGCCTTCTGCAAGGGTGCCATGCGGCAGCAGAGCACCGCGCTGCAGCTCCGGCAGATTTCCAGGAAGAGCTCCCTGTAGTTGCTGGAACTCCCGTCTTCGCGAGGCTTCATTATGAGAGACAGCGCAGCTCCGTCGATAATCAAGCCGTAGTCCTGCATATCTGCTGAGAGTCTGTTAAAGGACGTGAGTCAGAAAGACGCTCAATCACTAGAGATCTGGAGATTTTAGAAGACTCCGTATTTCTTTGGATGTCGACAGATGCTACAAATCCATGGGATTAAGAAACTAGTGTTTCTTATCAATACAATCTTTATAGTATTGAATGTAACACCTTTGTCGACATTTAAGAGTGTATTTTAGTGAAACATTCCTATTTTAGGTAAAGCAAGTGCACACTCTCTTTGTGGACTCGTTAAGTCCCTGTACTTTTGAAACAACAGGAAGGCGTTCATCTTGCAGTCTAAGATCTTGGTCAGTCTTTATTCTCAACCTGCTTGGTCACAGTCTTTATCTGTATAGTTAAGTCCTTGGGTTTCTGCCTGGATGACCTAAATTGGAAATAACGTGGTCATAATCTCCTCTTTGCTGGGTTTCAAAATGACAAGGAGGCTGGATGCCATGGCTCACGCCTGTAATCCCAGCACTTTGGGAGGCCGAGGCGGGCGGATCACCTGAGGTCAGGAGTTCAAGACCAGCCTGGCCAACATGGTGAAACCCCATCTCTATTAAAAATACAAAAATTAGCCGGGTGTGGTGGTTAAGCGCTTTTAATCCCAGCTACTTGGGAGGCTGAGGCAGGAGAATTGTTTGGACCTGGGAGGCAGAGGTTGCAGTGAGCCAAGATCACGCCACTGCACTCCAGCCTGGGCGACAGAGTGAGGCTCCATCTCAAAAACAAAACACAAAAAACAAACAAAGAAAACAAACAAGGAACACCTAATCCCTAAAAGGAGTTATGCAGATTACAGATCAGGTAGAGGGAATTATCTGTGCTATTTATGAATAACTTAACATTTGTGTAAATTAGAGAGCTGCTTTTGCTTTATGTACATGAATGAAACAAATGATTCAAATAAAATCTAATCTCAGATAATGCATCTAACACCAGTAAGGACAGCATCGATAAAATGTATCTGAATAAACTACTGAATATTCTTGGGAAAAAAACAACTCTTGGGCATGTACTGCTTTGTCTTAGACGAACAATCATGCATTATTAATATCTCCACTTCCGCCAGCAGATGTTTGAAGGTGCCTGCAGCAGAGCCCCTAAGTCTCAGAAGCAGATGAGAATTATCCCACTCAAAATATTTTATCAATTATGTCATTTTGCATCTGTTACCCGGCAGTCTGAAGATGAACATACACACACGTATGTGAAAAAGACACGTCACAACTGCTGGAAAAAACAGCCCGTCTTGTTCTCAGTGTTCACCTGACCCGTAAGAAGCTGGCATTAATGTCCCAGGGGAGAACCGAATTCCCAGTAAGGACAATGTGGTTCCCCCACTTGCCGGTGAAGGCCATTGGGTCTGAAGCCCCTTCTGAGGGAGTGGGGGTGGGGGTGGGGACGCGCTGCCTACCCTGAGAGGTTGTCTCTGGTCAGGCTCCCGTTGTGGCGCAGCACCGTCTTGCTCAGCTCGAACAGGACGTCGTGCAGGCTCTGCTCCTCGATCCTCTTGGTGGTCAGCTCCAGCAGCTGTGTGTTCCTGCGGAAGAGCTTGCAGGCATAGCACGTGGCTGCGGCCGTCTCCATCTTGTCTCCCGTGAGAACCCAGACCTTGATCCCGGCCTTTTGCAGGGCCTCGATGGTGTCTGCAGCTTTCTCCTGGAGCCTGAGGGAGGCAAAACCAAACACAACACAGAGAAAAGTCAGTGCTGACCCAAGAAATCCAAGTAAGGAACTGCAGAAACTTGCAAAGCTGACAAAATATTGTAGCCCCTCAAAATCAAAATGTGCCGTGCTGTGGTTCATGGTCTTACCACAAAGCACCTGAAGCGGCTTCTGAAGGTCTGAATTAGTGTTTCACAGTGAAACACTTCGTAACAGCAGAGAGATAAACATGGATCAAACATTTGAGATGGAAAGCGCTGTCTGGTGTCACTGACGTCTGACAAGCCTGGCAGTTTTCTGTGGAGCTGGGACTCACTACCTGGGGAGGGTTTCAGGAAATTATAACCACTACCAAAAATGTCTCAACCATGGAAACATGGGATCTGGACTCAAGGTGGTCAGGAATATTCATTATCTTTTGTTTTGTATAAACTGTTCTAAGTTTGTCACTTAGAACCCACTTGGGGTCCAGGTACCTCTAAATAAAACTAAAATACTGAGAATACTACTAGTGATTCTATGGCCAACAGGTATCATGAGCTTGCCACGCGCCAGGCCCATGTGACACTTCCTGTGTGCAATCTCTCATGCTCACCACGATGTCATGAGTAAGGACGTTAGCATCACACCCGTTTTACATACGGAAAACCCAAAGCCTGCAGATGCTACAGAAGGTATCTGGGGATAAGCGGCTCTTCTGACACTGGTCAGGTCACTTCCCTCTCCTTGGAAGATCTGGGGTCAAAACCACGTTTGCCTCATGTCGGGGCCTGCATTTTTTCTAGGTTTTAGACTTTACTTTCATGTGAAGCAACATGTAATGCTTCCGGAAAGCATGAAAGGAAGGATTTAAATTCTAACTGGAATGATCTGGTTTTCTGGGAAGAACTTCCTAGCTAGAAGTCTCAAGATCAGACAATCATAGTACTCTATAGATGGAAAAAACGCCTCTAATTTTATGTGTGTGTGTATGTATGTGTATATATATGTGCGTGTATCTATATGTGTGTGTGCATATATATATATAGAGAGAGAGAGAGAGAGAAAGAGAGAGTGAGCACGAGAGCAAGAGAACGCCTTGTTATGTTGCCCAGGCTAGGGTACAGTGGTATGATCTCAGCTCACTGCAGCCTCCAACTCCTGGGCTCAAGCGATCCTCCCTCCTCAGCCTCCCAAGTAGCTAGGACAACAGGTGACTGCTACCACGACCTGATTAATTAAAAAAAAAAAATTCAAGAGATGGGATCTCACTATGTTGCCCAGGCTGGGCTCAAACTCCTGGCCCCAATCAATCCTCCAGCATCAGCCTCCCAAAGTGCAGGTATTACAAGCGTGCTGCACCGGGCCTGGCCCTGTTTACAAGCGTGCTCCACTGGGCCTGGCCCTATAACTTGATTCAAAAGGAAGTTGAAGCTCAGAGATGTTTTGCACTTGCTGACTGGAGATTTTAAGGAAATAATTTATAAGCAAGCATCATCACTTCAAAGCCACTGAGACCCCCCCACTCCCGCCACCAGGCATTAACTCTCCACTTTTCTACATTCCCAATCCAGTCAAGTCAACCTGCCCCCTGCTCCAGGGGCTCTGTCCCATCTGCTCTGCGGGAGGCATCCCCACGCTCCTCCACCACGGCCTCTAAAGATCGACCCAGCTGCTCCCCAGGCAAAGACCATTCTATGGACATCCCTCTTCTCCTGGACAGACAGCAGGTGAGTGGCTGGCCATGACAGCAAGGCCCCACCTCCCAGCAGCACCAGCAACAAAGCCTTTCGGCGGTCGTGGCCCTGCGCTCTGAAGCCTTCCGGTGTGTAAGGCTCGTTCTCCACACGGTGCTCCGTGCGCTTACTCCGGACTGAATGGGGGGAGCGTGACTTCAAAACAAAACACAAAACCACCAAACAAAACTTCCCACTTCACCTAATACTCCATTCAGATCGAGAACTCGGGGAATATTTGTTCAATACACTCAGAAAATGCAGGGTTAGTGATGAGGATTTCAGTTTTGGACCGAAATGGATCTTAAAGATTTTCAAACTTGATGCTTTTAACTTCTAGGAGATAAACTCCTAGTAAACTTCCTGAAGTTTCTGCTTCATTCTCATCAATTGGAGCATTTATTTTCTCTCCTCCATTCCTACAAACCACTGAAATCCACGCCTTTCACTCAGCTCTGAAGGTGCCATGTGGACCTGACGACTGTTTCTTAGTGGCCTCGGCCTCACACAACTTTCAGTCCCCATTGTGGAGCTGGGGCACACTGGCAACTCTCGCCTTAGAGGCACCTGAAAATCTGTAATTGGTAATTTTGCTGGTTATGATGATGATTAGTTTAACTTTCTACTTCATTAAGTTTTTTCAAATAATGATAAACACATTGAGTATGTAATGATCTAAGAAGTAATAACAGTATTTGGAAAGAACTAGCAACAAGTTTAGGAAGAGAGTTAGTTGTTGATTCCATTGTAAAGAGTAATTACAGCCAGTCATGACTGCTCATGCCTGCAATTCCAGCACTTTCAGAGGCTGAGGTGGGAGGACTGCTTGAGGCCAGGAGCTTGAGACTAGCCTGGGCAACACAGTGAAATCCTATCTCTACAAAAAATATGAAAAATTAGCCAGGCATGGTGGTATGTGCTTGAAGTTCTAGCTACTCAGGAGGCTGAGAAGGGAGGACAGCTTGAACCTGGGAGTTTGAGGCTGCAGTGAGCTGTGATGGTGCCACTGCACTCCAGCCTGGGCAACATGGCAAGATGCCATCCCTTAAAAAAAAAAAAGAATTTGTAAGAGTCCTTCTGTCTTGCCTGTTCATGATATGAAAAAGCTATTTTCACTACTTCCTGGGAAAGTGTGCTTTCAGGCATCTTATTCATGGATAACAAAATATCCCACAGGCATGACCTTCCCGACATGACTCTAGTGTGTAGCAAGACACCTCGCCTCTCCCTGGGCAGCAAACACGCCCACTGGCTGTGCGGCCGGCCTCCCTCCCCTCCACTCGCCCTCACACACACCACTGGCT